AGTTCATTACTTGATTGATAATAACAAGACGTGATTTTATTGGATAGTTAGTAACAATGAAGATAATAATTATAATAATATTTTTAATTGTTTTATACAAACGCAAATTAAATACGAATGGAACAAACTGCCCTTTTCAATGTCTGATGAAACTTGAAGCATTGATTATTTTCTAACACAACGAGCAACCCTGACCATTGTCAATGAAGTGTTGATGTTCTTGGATAGCTACCATTCTATTAGAAAACTAATACCTGAACAGTAGTGCATTTTCCGTAACGGAAGAATGACGTAATAATCATGAATGACACCAAGAGACACTTAAACGAGTGAAATTCCGATAGTACAAGTTCAAGTTCGATTTAAGTACTGTAAAAGCTGTGTACCAATAACCTAATACCGCGAGAAATTTAGAAAATGACAGGCCTTAAATATAAATTTCATTATCACCCAGTATAAAAATCAGGGTATTTGTTTTAAAATGTAGGCTACTAAAAAAAATATTTTTTTAGCAATTTAAATTGAAAATTGATGGTTTTTAATATTTTTTTTTTGTTAATTTTCAAAACAGTGCACCCTTTAAACACAATTACTTGACGATCGTTTCTTGACAGTCAAAAAATCAAGCAATTTGTTCACTGTGTGAAGTCCTTGACTAATTACAATACCGTTACTAACACCACAAACGCCAATAACAATAATAAAATAGATTCCAAGCGGGTATGTGCAGCTATTGCTTGACATTATTATTGGCTACTTTTAACATCCGTACTTTCTGTGACTTTTTCGTAAATTTTCTACGACAGGTTTTTTTAGGACCTTGGCAATTCGCTTGATATAACTAGGACAGGCCTATCTAGCATATAATAATAATTCTGGATTTATATAGCGCCTCACGCTTAACAACAACAGAGAAGAACAACAATTAATTAAGTTGGCATCATATTTCGTAAACTTACTTTTCGTTTTTTATCTTTAGCTCATGACCCATCCTATCATTCCTCCACCGGATTAAGGCTCTTGCAAGGTCAACTGCCAGGCTACAACAATGTGTCTGTTGCCCCCCCCCCCCACCTTCAAGGGGCAATAGACTCAAAAACTATACCGTATTTACTATAGCTGTCTGGTTGTAAAAACTATCAAAAATTACATGTAAAGCATTTCGATGGAAAACTGGGGCTGCAATGGTAGGCCTACTGGTCTACCATTCTGACCATCGAATTTCAGTCTATCTACCTTGCTAAATCATTTTACAGAAAGTTTGCAGTGAACCTAACTGTAACTTGAACAACGCTTTAGAAAACACAAATTGCGTTAACATAAAAGTTAATTACCTGTTTAATGATATAAAAATACTTCAGAATGACGTACGTCATTTTTTATTAGGTACAACTTTGTTTAATGGCCTTTGCATGGAGTTTGAAGACGATAAAAGTACGGAACCGGGCTAAAATCCGTTGAAATATAGGAAAATCGTACAAATGAAGAAAACAATCATACTGTAACAGAAACAGTAGATTTTTTTAATATATATCAAGGGAAACGCTAAAAAAGCAATATTAATACAATAGCAACAATTTACAATTTCCCTGCCTCTATGCCGAGATTTGTGGCTGCTCAGCCATCTCGAATAGAAGCCCTGGGCGCATTATTTTATTTTATTTATTCATTTGTTTATTTTATTTATTTAGGGCCTATTTTTTTTTTTTTTATTTTTTTTTTTCGAACTTTGGATGGGCTTCTTTACGAGACAGCCTTCTTTTCGAGACTACTTTTGCATAGTAAAGAGGAGAGCTTCTTTCCAAAATTAATACTGTAATGTTTGGGCACTACTACCATAAAACAATAAATAGGGCCACTGTAAAAGTACCGGTATACTGTATCAGTCTGTAATAGACAGCCCTTCCCCCACAGCAACATATCTGCAGTTGTCACTATGTAGGCTGTCATTATGTAAGCCTTTCGCATGAATCAAAGATCATATTGAACTCGTACAGTAGTGTCAAAAATGTTTTAGGCAATAATAAGGAGTTTTCGCTGCACGTCGTTAACTTTAACATTAATGGCTGACGTCATAATTTATTCATCTGGCGTTGCGGAGTACGTTAATTTTCAGGATGTCGGGTTTGCGCATGCGTATTTCGATTTGTTTACAAAAGGGGCGGAGTTATCGCGTTGCATGTTGGGTACTATCGTTAAAGTTAAAATTAACGTCGTGCGGCGAAAACTACCTAATGATTATAATAATGACGTATTCGTTATCGTTTTCGTAAGGTTGTGAATTCTCCCTATTATTAGGCTGTTGACCTCGAATTGGCCAATCATAAAAGCTCTGTCCACACTATCCAATTTTCTTACAAAAAAAATGGTTGTATGACCATATATAGTCATGATGTGCCTATATATGGTCATGATGTGATGTCATCATGACCATATTTAGGCATGTCACATGCTTTTTGTCAAATAAAATTTGATAATCTGGACACTGGACTATAAGAAATTTGAAGAAAAAAAAAATGTAGGAGGTATGACCGTACATTTTGTGATTTTTATGTCACGATCTTCATTAAAGGTATGCACACTTAAACAAATGTGATGTGTTGTTATTAAATATTTCGGAAGTGCCAGTCAAAATTGAACTGACCAATTAGAATAGGGCCAGGGATACGCGCATGTCCTTAAGTACACAAGTACACGAACATTTTAAATCTTATTTACAGAGCATGGCAGAACAGCGTGACCACTGCTTGGGTATTTACCCAAGATCTTGGGTATTTTGACTTGGTCTTGGGTTCTTGGGTATTCCGTTCAAATCCTTGGGTATTTTATTTTTACTAAGAAAATTAAATATTTTTGTTATAGAGGAAGAATTAAGAAGTAACAAAGTATATTTTCAACGAAGTGCACATAACATTGTTAATTGACTGTTAATTGCTATAAACATGGGTTCAGAATTGTTTATTTGTGATTTGTGTTGCCATTGATCTTACCTAATTAATGCATTACATAATAAAACTTGATCACTGTTCTACTGATAACACTGGCCGACTGAGGGCGTATTTTTCTATCTGTATTATCACCTCATGAATATTAATTTTAATAATTAACACAAACAATTACAATAAAAAATTTGTTTATAAATTGAACTAAAAGGGAAACTATACATGCGAAAAACACATATTTTTCAAATTTTAATGCATTTTCAGGAAGCTTGGGTAATTTTGGGAAATTTTTACTGAATCTTGGTTAATTTCGACCCAGACATTGGGTATATCAAAAATTGTGAGTGGTCACACTGTGGCAGAAGCACACGGCAAGGAAGTTCATTTAACCAGAGTATTACAACAGTCTACATCTACATTCTCAGTGAAGAATAAACAAAGATAAATTTGAGTTCGAATATTGTCGAGCGGCAGTTTAATAATAATAATAATAATAAAAATAATAATAATAATAATAATAATAATAATAATAATAATAAAAATAATAATAATTAAAATAATAATAATAATAATAATAATAATAATACTGCAATAATGAGTGCCTTACACTAAAAAGCGCTTAACAATGATAATATGATAACATAAGTAGGTATAGCATTACTTTGTGTATACATGTATTTATTTTTAATAATAATAAGTTTTATATAATATTCTACTGCAGTTGCAACCTCTGTAAATATGCATTTAAGGGGAGTAACTATATCCAAGGTGTGGGGGCTTATCTAAATGGTTTATTAACAGTCATAAAAAGCCAAATATTTAGCAATTTGTTTTTCCATAAAACAACTTTATTAAAATTCAGCTTCAAACATCTAAAATCTACGTGACAAAACATGATTTTTTTTCGTTTTTAAATATACTGTCTATTAAATGTAATATTTTGTTTCTCTAAATATAGTGGAACGGTACTTTGATCAAGGTAAAAAAATCTTAACAACGGTGCACACAATAAAAATACTGATAAAATTAAGCAAGAAAATTGAAAACCTGTTTCAATAATTGGATATATAGTTTCAAACATGCAATATAAAATTGAAAAACTAAACAAAAAATGAAAAATAACATTATTATTACTATTTAGAAAAAAAAAAACAAACGAAAGCATTATAAGAATATTTTATAAGTTTTGTCTCATTTTTTCAATAAATCGTTCGTTCTCTCTGTCATTTTTCTTTCTCTCATTCTCTATACATCCATGTCACTCCTTGTCAATATATTTTTATATATACCTATTTACGCTTCCAACAAACTAACCAACCAACGAACCACTCACCCATTCGTCATTTATCTATCTATCTTTATCACCCATCCACCAATCCCTCCACCCATTCATCAATCCCTCCACCCATTCATCAATCCCGCCACTCATTCACTAATCCTTCCCGCCATCCACCAATCCCTCCACCCATTTATCAATCCCTCCACCCATTCATCAATCCCTCCACCCATCCACCAATCCCTCCATCCATTCATCAATCCCTCCACCCATTCATCAATCCATTCATCAATCCCTCCATCCAACCACCAATCCATCAACCCAAACACTAATCCCTCCACCCATTTACCAATTCTCCACCCATTTATCAATCACCCACCCATTTATCAATCCCTCCACCCCTTTATCAATCCCTCCACCCATTCATCAATCCCTCCACCCATTCACCAATTCATCAATCCCTCCACTAATTAATCAATAATTCCAACCATCCACCAAATCCCTCTACCCATTTATAAATCCCTTCACCCATCCCTCCACCCGTTTATCAATCCTCCACCCATTCACCAATTCCTTCACCCATTCACCAATCCCTCCACTCGTTCACTAATCCTTTCAGCCATCCACCAATCCCTCTACCCAATTATCAATCCCTCCAACCCTTTATCAATCCCTCCACCCATTCACCAATCACCCACCCATTCACCAATCATTAGAACCATCCACCAATCCATCCACCCATTTATCAATCCCTCCACCCCTTTATCAATCCCTCCACCCATTGACCAATCACCCACCCATCCCTCCACCAATTCATCAATCATTCCAACCATCCACCAATCCCTCTACCCAATTACCAATCCCTCCACCCATTTATCAATCCCTCCACCCATTTATCAATTCCTCCACCCATTTATCAATCCCTTCACAAATTTATCAATCCCTCCACCCATTCATCAATCCCTCCACCCATTTGTCAATCCCTCCACCCATTTCACAATTCCTTCATCAATCTACCAATCCCACCACCCATTAATCAATCCATACACTGATTTTTCAATCCTTCCACACATTCATCAATCCTTCTACCCATTTACTAAGCCATCCATCCATCCATCATTCCATTAAACCATCTACTCATCTATCTAGCTATCACTTTCTACCTTTGCCCTTTCACTTTATTAAACCTTGTTTTCCTAATTTAAATCAGTTTTCTTTAAGACTATATTTTAACTTACATAAACATGCAAAACTTTAAAATTCTTCATATATCTTCTTATATACAGTACAGTATGTGTTGATTCCACTTCCTCACATAAAAACGTGCACACGGCCACTTGAATTCCCACCAATCAGAATGTTTCGTGATGGATGGAATGCGTTAACAGAACAAACCGATGAAAGAAATTCCTCCTCCATATAGTTGTGTAAAATGGTGCCATCAGTAGAAAAAAGCTCAATCTGTAAAAATATCAAGAAAACTCAATGAATATAAAGAAAATATTTTCACAATTTAGGCGAGAATTTTTTTATACCTATTTTCGCGAAATCGTCAGGAGGGTAGAATAAAAATAAAATGTTTTTTATTTAGTAAATAGTTTTGCCAAAAACTATTTCTCCTCCATTTGCCAAATGGAGGAGAAAATAAAAAAAAAATGTTATTGGTGAATGTAAATAGTGTTAAACAGGATGAATAAATGCTTTAAATTTATATAATTAGGAAGAAATATACATATATTATTTTTGGAGATTTCAAAGCAGCAGTGGGCGTAATAAAAATTTAAAAACTATTTTTTATGCCTGTGGGTTCGCAAATTGAGCAAAAATTATTTTTAATCGAAATCACTATTATTGGCGGGCGAAGGGTTCACTAAACAACATATATAAAAAGCCTTGCCTTAACAAGATTATATCTTTATTAACACTAATCTTATAGGTAACAATGTTTTAGGTAAAAATAGAAAATTGGAACTTACACAATAGCCAGTGTTTCTCAAATAACTGGACTATACTTGAGAAAAATGGAAATGTTCAAAAGCAGGCCCTGTGACTTAGGATAATAATCTGAAGTTGTCGAAGCTGCAATGTTGGCACAGTGAGCTTTTCGGAAGGTGAATCAAATTTAATAACCGACCAATTAAAAAAGGGACAGGAATACACGCTTGTCTTCCATAGCATATATTGTCCAACAAACACAAATTTTTATGAATATTTATGTTGTTTTTTTTTTTTTGTTTATCAAAGTGACGGAGCCAATGGTGCAGATCTGTTTTTAAAGGTTGGGGGAACAGTCATGAGTCAACACCTATCTCAGTGCCACCATAGTTGGGGCTGAGGAAATAGTACCTCTAGACAGCCGGAAATGATACTCTTATACAGTAAAATTCATCACCATGTACTGTGGTTCTACAGCACCCTTGCATTTTTATTTTTTATTTATTTAATTTTTTTTTTTAAGGTGGCTACATCTTAAAGCTCTTGTTGAACTTACAGTACTGTAGCCTCCTTCCATACAATGTATTCGTTTCAATTCTTTTGCATTCTTATTGTATTATAATATTGTACTACTTTTTTGTACAGAAAATAAAAGTATATTTGATTTGATATTTGATTAAAACCTGGGTGATTTATGCAGTTCATTTCAATTTTAATTTCCAGCCATTTTCTTAGCTTATGAAATTAAATTGCAGTCGAAAGTTGGGAGACAATCCCTCTTAAAAATATGATTGGGGGGGGGGGGGAACATGTCCATGTGACCTGCGCCGCCCATAGATGGAGCTTAGTGGAAAAGTTACAATAAAAAAAGAAGTGTTTTTTTTTATTAGTAACTTTGATTCCTTAAATTGAACAACTTATTACAGCTGCAGGGAGAAAATATATTTAAGTAATTGTGTAAAAAATAAATGAACTAGAATGTTTTAATATTACAGATACAATAAAGCTAAATAATTTGATGCATCATTCCATATTTCGAGATTCATGGTTTATTAACTGATTATACAAAACACCCACAGCAATATATTTGCTGGTATTCCAAAACAAATATTGAAATATTTCCAGCAAGTTATAAATATTCATAATTTTTATGTTGCAATATCAAAAGGATGTTTGTTAAAAAATGTTGCAATATGCTTTGGCCCAGAGAACCGGCCCCGCCCCCCCCCCCCCCCCCAACCCCAAACTATAAACACAAAGTTTAATGTTATTATGATTTGGCACACTCCAATGGAAACAATTGTAATGAAGAGGTTTTGGTTTGAATATTAGGATGGTCAGACTATGTGTGTTCTATGAAAACCACCTTTATTTTATTATTAAAAGATAATTTATTATCATTATCTATTTTTGCACACTATTTATGTGTTTTTATGTACATTTATTGAATTCTTATAAAGAATCAAGTTGTTTTCTTAGAAATAATGTGATTGAACGAATTAAAAAAAAGATTCTATTTAATCAATCTTAGTCAGTCAATCAATTAATCAGCCAATCCATCCATCAATCATTCAATTGTTTAATTAATCATCTGTCAATCATTTATCTATATTCATGTTTTATTGTTGTTATTTTTAACTGGCATTTTGTAGGAAGTTCACTGACATAGATATTTGTATTTGCCATTCTTATTGATTGATTTTTTATTGTACTTTGTATTATCTTTGTAAAAATAAATTTTAATGTACAGCACTTTGATCATTTTGTGTAAAGGCGCTATATAAATGCTTTTTAATGATAATAATAATAATAATAATAATAATAATAATAATAATAATAATAATAATAATTCCAATCAATCAATCAATTAACAAACCAATAAATCAGTCAATCAATAACATATTTCCAATTCTAAGCAAGTATCTTACCCTCCTTGGACGGTCCATGCTACCAACAACGAATACATCTTCCAGTCGTGGGTGCCATTGGGCACGGAAACTTGACAACCATCGTCCAGTATGATTGTTGTGTCTTAAAAAATATAAATAATAAATAAACAAAAAAAATTAATTTTACATAAGTAGAAGGTCAAATTGATTGATGTAAATATCATAAATTACTTAATTAATAAATTAATGTGACTGAATCAAACAATTAAACAGAATTATTTAATGTATAAGGAAATATATTGTTTATGATTATACAGTAGTTGAGAACAAAAGCATGTATTAAGATTTCATGTTTTGAATATCAAAATCCTGGACATAGAAGTTGCATAATCTATTTAAAAAATATCATAATCTAATATCATTATAAATCTGTTCAAACTTGAAAGAGTATGACAGATTTAAATTGGTTGTTTAAAAGTAGACGAAGTACTTTCATAAATTCTATATACAGTACATTATTTTTCTAATCTGCAAATACACATTAATTTATAATTATGAATGTTTTCTTAAGATTATGAAAATGTTCTATTTTCTTTACTTTATTGCAATCATCCACACTTTTAATACCTTGAACTTGAATAAGACATGCTATTTCGGATGACTTTAAAATGAACATACAACCTTCTTTTCATGATCTATTATCAACATTCAATAAAACAAATTCTTTCTTTGCTGTATATTTTACTAGCTATGTAATAATGAAATGAAAAAATTACTCATAATTCTTACCTTATTGTTGTCTTTAAATTCAGACCTTGAGTTGACCCAGACATATCAAAGTCAGCAATCCTAAAAATGATACAGTAAAACGTCCATTTTACAAACGTCCATTTTACGAAGTCAATTTTACTAATGGGGTTACTACCGAAAAAAAAGTGATAATGTATATTTTTCTTAATAAAATTAAGTTTGTTGTATGTATTTATTAATTTTTCAATCTTTTCTTCTATTTCTGGTATAATAATCAACATATTAATGCAATAAACCTAACCAGAACAACGAACTACCAACATAAGTGTCGTCGGATTTAGCGCACATGTTTACGATGTTGAACGAGAGTGTTGGGGTCAGCAACTTATTGACATCGTGAATGCTAGATATGATCGCGAAATGCATGTAAATAACACAATTCTGTGATCAAACAACTAGAGAGAACACGATAGAAAGGGCCATAAAACATACAGATGTTTGAATAAGAGTTAAAATAATATTTTGTTAAGTGGAAGAACGCCAGTGATTAAAATAATTTGAATTTTATCGAAGGTAAATTCAGTTAGGCTCTAGCACGATAGACCACGCTGCTGCACTGTCAGTTCGTGCTAGGCCTGGCTGTCATCAGCCTATCGGCGCTCAATGGCAGGAGATAGCTAGGCTTAGGTATTGGAAGCTGACACCCGATCTAGTTTACAAATTTTTCAATTTATGAACACCCCTAGTGGTAAATATATGATATGTCCCTGAATAAGTTCACACATATGCAAATCGCTCTGCTTTGCCTCCCCACTGTTTAACTTACTTCTAAACATAATCCTATGTTCACACTAGAATTTTTTATGTGACAATTATGTGTGTTATTTGTCACTATATATGCATAATGATGTCATATCACACTAGATATGGGCAAATCTCAGATAATTATTCTTAAGGGGCAGACCATCACCAACATGCAGAATCACATACTATAGGTTTTTTCTTTACAGAGCTTCTATTTTTAACGTTTGAGTGCAATTAATTTAATAATAATAATTATTGTTTAATTAAGGATATATTTTTTGATAATTATTTATATTATTCATGTGGTAATTTTGATGAAATTGTATAGAGAACTTTCAAATTTTGTAATGTTGATGTATTTAGTAATCAATTTCAATCCCTCTATTCAATGTATTTATATGTTTTTTATTGCATGTGTATATATATGTTTTTTATAATGTAAAGTAATCAAATTCAGCCATTCGCTGCTGATTGCTAATCATATACCGGATTAAATAAATAAATAAAAATTAAAAAAATAATAGTTTGACATTTTGTATGTGTAAGCATGTTTGTTTAGTATGTGCACTCACTGAATGCAACATGCCATTAAGGTTTTATTTTAGATTACATGGTACTTGTGTTTTAGTTCAACTAATTCCACAAGTTTAAGTTTAAAGCTAGGCTTCTTAACATACTTATTCTTCAGAATTGTAGGATGGATATTTTATTCATAAAGATGCCATCTGAAATTATTTTATATTAAAATGCAAGACTTATATACTTATTTGATTTGTTCAAGTTCTATTTTTCCACAAAGATGAAGAGAAAGAATAATTGAAATGAATTCTAGAGGTCTGTCTAGACAATCAAATTGCATGCGACAAATTTGTGCTGTTACAGTAATAACAATAATAGTGTAGTTTTTATATAGCGCACATATCCATCTAAGGTAAGATGCGCAAGGCGCTTGATATGTGGACTAGGAACTCGATCAATGACTTTCTTCGCCCCTAAGGGCCCCTTTGTGTCTGTGCTACCCGGTAACCCAGTACCAGCAACTCTCGTCGTCCACAACAGGGGCTGTCTTTTCCAGTACACCGGGGTTCCCCCCTACTCGTCTCGAAGGATGTACTGGGCTCTTTATAGTGCACACAAGCCATTGTATACACTGGGCCTACGGTTTATAGTCCTTATCTGAGAAGACTCGATCTACCACCAGAACCATAGGCGAGCGTGCCGTTCGAACCAAGGCTGATATTATGGCTATAACTTGTAGCGCCCCTGCTAACCACTCAGCCGTTCGGCTGACCTATGTATATGACCTATGTATATATACAAGATTCAAGATATATTTATTTTCAAAGTGCACTACTTGCTACACATGAAATTTGGTTTTCCAGATACTTCAACAGGAAATAAAAATAAAAATATGGGCCTGATGATGTCATACTACACCCAAATATGGGCATATCACATTTATTTGTCACATGCAATTTGATAGTGTGGACAGCTTGAGTCTCTACACAAGGCAAAGTCACAAATTCTTCAGGACATTGGATAATCACAAATGAAATATGAGGCATGTCGTGGCGAAATGGTTAAGTTGTTGCACAGGCAAGTATTGAGTAAATGAGCTATAAAATATGGGAGCTCAAAAAATTGCCTAAAAATCCAAATTTGTTTTTTACTATAGATGAACAGTTGTCCTAATTTAGCTACAAGCAGACAGTGGTAATCACCATCTGTAACTAAGTCAGAATAGGCACCTGTGGCAATATGCAAATTAGTACCCTTGGCTAATGACGAATGAGTAATTTCACTATTTTAACATACCTCAACCTGTCATCCACGGAGGTTGTGAGAACTTGGCTTCCGGTCACGGGTGAGAAGAACGCACTTGAGACAGTTTTCAAGTGTGGCAGGTAACTCAGCGGTTTGTTCTTCCCTTCGTTGCTTAACATACGCAGATCCCACAATGCAACAGTCCTATTTTATTAAAATAATTATAAAAATAATTTGTTTATAATAATTTACATATTTTTTTTTCAATAATGAGAATGACATTAATATGGTTATGAATAAATCTATCTTCTTAGAAAATTTAGTTAATTTTAATCTTGCTTTCTGTTTGCAATTAAGTTTTGTCCTGTACTGACCAGATGAGAGGATTAACCGAGCGCATAACACAAGGGCGCCACATCATACAGCCCTAATATCGGCACTGGTTCGAGCATCAGGCTCTGGTGGTTAAAAAAGTCTTCTCAGATAAGGACTATAAATGACAGGTCCAGTGTACACAGTGGCTCATGTGCACTATAAAGAACCCAGTACATCGTTCAAAATGAGGAGGGGGATATCCTGGTGGGACTAGTACCGACAGCCCTTGTGTTGAAGGGCTGGGTAGCAAAGACACAAAGGAACCCTTAGGGGCAAAGAGAGTCACTGATTGAGCCAACAGTCACACATATCAAACGCCATGAGCATCTTGTTTGATAGATACCAGCACTATACAAATCTACGCTATTATCATTATTATGATTACTATTAACTATTATTATTATTAATATTGTTTACCTATATTAAGACTAATATGTTGGAAAAGCAGAAGGGGACAATACTGTAGCTTCACAGAAAAATATTACAGTACTATTATTATCCATGAGCTTTTGGCGTTATGTTCTAAATGACTGAAATAATACTATTAACTAGTATATAAATAACATAAATCAACAGTCTACAAGCTATGCTACACTATAATTGCAATTAACAGGTTATTCACCCTGATTTAAATATGCAATATCATTATTAGTACAGATAATTACTACTTACGTGTCTGTGGAAGCTGTAACAAAGTAGTTCTTCTTCAGTGGGTGGATGGATACGGTCTTAACATTGCGATCATGCAGCTTGTAAGTTTGAACGGGAGAACTAATGACGAAAATAAAAAAAAAGATTGTGGTTGAAAATTAGCGCTATATTTTGCCCATTTTTTACCAAATTTTCAACACTATGTTTTTTTTTTCTTTTTTGGTAAAGTTCCTTAAAACAGTTTTGCTAACCTAAATTAGGGTCATGACCCATAGTTTGAGAAGCTGGGTTAAACATGTTGTATTCATACTATTGAAATAATAAAAATAATATTTAATAAACTTCACAGAATAATAAATTAAAAATGTATTGTACTAGACGGATCAGTGTTCTTAAATTCCAAAATATTTTTATCGCATAAGTATGAAGCTTTGTAAATAATGAGAATTCACCTGTTAGTTCGTCTGTCAATGAGGGCAGCATATCCTGCTTTCATATTCTGACCAATAAGAAGCTGAGAGCCATCAGGTGATAGGAAATCAAAGTAACTCAACCACTGGTCTTCATCAGGGTTTGTACAATATACCTAATAGAAAAATATCAGAATAGATATTTCAAAATACTAATTACTTTGTAAGTCATTACCTTCACTTAACTGTTGCATTACCTTTAAGTCTAGGTGCTCTGAGGAAACTGCAAAGTTTCTCTTATGTCAAAATTCCTAATTTCATCACCACATATGCCTTGCTGAAGATATCTTATCAACCAAGCTTTTAGATTGCTACCTTTTACATATGCGTAAACCATGCAATGCAGATGCATATTTGGAGGGGTGGGGAAGGGGGGGTTGGAGGGAAAAGGTTCAGCCAGCCCGGGCCCCTGTAAATTTTTCAAACGTCAAAAAAAGGAGAAAAAAAATTAAATTTTTCCTTAACTCTGAGAGTGTAATTTTTCTTACCTGAGCCTAACCTTGGTGGGGGTGAGGTGGTCTAGACCCTTCATCCATGAAACCTCCTTTCTGGGCCCCCTCTATTTCAAATTGTTTGATCTGCCACTGTAATAATTTCAACTAAGTCCCCTACTGTAGCCTGGGGTAACGTAATCGTGTACTGGCTTTGTCTGTAACAGGACTGAAGCAAAATATACAGTGTGGGTTGCAGATTGGAACCCACGACCTCACAATTGGAAACCTGAACAATTATCGCTACCACAACCGTTCGCACTTAAGGATTACTAAATGCTTACATCCTCGAATACCAGCTTATTCAAGTCACCGCATCGTACAGTGCCATCATAACTGCAGGAGAGAAACTTTCCACAATCCATTGGTGCAAATTTGAAGCAGTTGATTGGTCGAGAGTGAGGTTCAAAGAGAAAAACTCCATCATTCTCATTCTTTGACTCCTAAAGAGGATAAAAAAAATATGAAATATATAAAAATAGACAAAAAGAAATAATTTAAAAATGTTTTCATATTGGAGATTATTAAAGGTAAATGCTAAAATTTCATTCCCAAAGTCTAGTGTTGAAATCCTCAAAAATGAGTATATTTTTTTTTTATTACTTCACTTTCTCATCCTTATATAGAGAGTTTATTGAGCAACATATATACCAGTTTAAAGAACACAGTCAATACACAAAGCTAAAAACAAGGAGATATGGTGCCAAGAAAAAAATACCCCTCCACTGGGACACCCCTGTTAGGAGGATCAATTTTTCACCCATGAAATGAGGGAAAGATATCTTTTAACATTACAGCTAACCCATATTTAGGGGACACCCCTATGAAGGAGATACAGTGTTTGGTCCCAAAGGTGTCCCCCTTAATAGGGGTTCTACTATATTTTGGTTACAGTACTACCATCTTATACAGGTACATTAATTAGCAAACTAGTTGCACCAGATAACATTTTAGAAAGTCTTACCACATCCCAGATTCCTAGGTGACCCCATTTTCCCCCTACCCCAATTATGAGCTTTGAGGCAGACCGATGAACATCTAAGGAGAATATTCTATTTGGAACAACTTTTGCGACCCTTTCTTCCGTAAGTCCCAGCTTCAGGAGAGGTAGCACGCACCTGAAAAAATAATGTATTTATTTGTCTTTTTGTAATAAGATGATAATCAGGATGAGCGGCAAAGTAGGGATTTTTAATCTGAAGTTAAATTATAAGTAGAATAAAACAAGTTATAAAACAATTGCAATAGACAATTTAAATGTACTGGAGGGTAAGCTCGCTTCGTTTGCTTACTCTCCAGTATGTGAATGCTGCGATTAGTTTCAATTAAAAGAACAATTGGACCACTCAGATATTTTTTTTGAGATGGAATCTTTGATGATCTATGTTGTTACAGTTTTTCAGACTGGCAAGTTTCGAATCACAGACATTACGGTATCTGAGGACCTCGGTTGATTTGCATGGAAGTAGCGAAAAATGGAGATCTAAATGAAAAAAACGATGTATTTCAGCATGTATTAAAACCTTTTCTATATTTTAAGCCTTCTTTAAAATGCCTATGCCTACAGCAGTTGATTTTTTTTTGCCGCAAAACCAAAATAGTTCATCCATGCCGACTTTCCGATCGGTTAGCATCAGCCCTGACTGAACACTGCAGAAACTTCACATCGAACTTCGCATCGCGAGGTAAAATGTCGGAAAACTTGCATAAATGTCTACACACACGCACACAGGAAAAACAGTGAAAAGTGATTATAATAGTTCCTATTGCATTACATCCATAGGAACTAAAAACAAGTCCGATTTATTATAATAAAATCTGAGACGTAGGCTAAGTTTGGCATGGAGGTGGGGGGAAGGACGAAAATTTAGATTGCATAACTAAATTCCTATTCCAATGAAAACTTAATGGCCATTTATTTTTATACCACTTAGTGGAACTAATTTGCTGCTATGGGTGGGGAAGGGGGTCCGTGCCCAAAACACCCACCAGTCTATGCACATGAATATATCACTTACATTTTCATATCAGGAGATTCCGTTTCTGTAAGTTGATTTTGCAGGCATTCCATACATTTACTGAAGTCTGTACTTAGATTTTCTTTATTTTCATTCTTAATGTTGGTCGGTGTCATATCAAGGGGTCCAGCTGGTTTTCTTGGCTGCAATCAATAATATATATTTTGTGTATTTAATTATGAAAATGTGCAGCATTTATTTACAGTACTATATGCTTCATCATAGCACCATACATCATTGTTTCTGCTGTGGATATTGAAACACAACTCAATCAAAATCATCAATCAAACACTTATATTGCACCAATTCCAAAAAAATATCAAAGGCGCATTGTACACTTAAGTATGGTGTAAAAATAAAAAATTTTAAAAATTCAGAAAGATAGATGGGTTGAAAGGATATCGGATATCCTCAGCATACATGTGATTGGATTTCGTGTGAACGAATGATATTGGCTACAAGCAATGCGTTGGCAATTTTGAATAACTGTACAAGTACCATATAACAGATTGTTTATTTTTTAGTTCTTTGTAGGACATATATTATCTAAGCATGGCTTCATATATCCTAGGCTTATTTTGACGCATCCAATCATTCCTTAAGACTACTGTAGAACCCATCCTTTGGTACACCAATATTAAGGGGACACTTTTTCTTGAAACGAGGGGCGATATATCTTTTAACACTATGGCCAGCCCCTATTAAGGGGACAGGGACACTTTCTGAGTGTGCCAAATGGTCAAATAACCCCTATTAAAGGGACACTTAATTTTTTTTTCATTGTACCATGAAAATTACTGTACAACTGTCTCAAAATAAAAATAATTTATTCAACTTTATATTTTGAACAATAACTAGAATTTTCTCCCCTGAATCCTTATAGTGAATATCAGTATAGGTCTACTGCATGTATTAATTCGAATAAACCAATCTTGTCAATTCTTTTTCTTCATTGTTCGTATGTATACAATTCTAATCCATAAAATAACATGCACCCATAATTCCAAGTTGTTGCTCTATTCATGCTACATCCATCCAACAGAAAGCTCAATATTTAAAAAAAAGAATTTGGTCACAAACCCTGCATAATGAAATAATTTTGGGAACTGTTGTTTTAATTACATTTTTGCTCATTTTATATTATAAATGTATTGTAATTGCATTGCAAATTATTGCTTTTAATTAGTTCTACAGTAATTCTACCGTGACTAATATGTCAATAACAAATAAAATTAAAAAGAATGTATGGTATTGTTATGAAAACATGCCAAAATCCTCTACTAAGTGGACAATTTCATGTGGGATAGTGTCCCCCAAATAGGGTATCCCCGAATAGGGGACACCACTATTAAGTGGACACTTTTTTTGGTCCAAAAGGTGTCCCCTTAATAGGGATTCTACTGTATACAGTAGTCTGAATCACAGCGGCCCACTACCAGCTGCTCCAACATAGTCCTAATAAACTTACATGTTCTTCTACTGGTTCAGCGAATTCAATTTTTGGTAAAGGATCACCGCTTGGATCAATACGCTGCAGTCTCAGCGAACGAGGGCGTAGAATAATAGGTTCTGCTGGCTTCTTCTCGCTACCAAAATTAACAATTTAACAATATAAAAATAAGTATTATTTCCATCATGTCCATTATATTTTTCGCAAACAATTCAAAAAGAAAATCATTTTCATCAAAGTAATGGTCAAAAATAGGTCTACACTTTGTAAAAAAAAAAAACAATGAATGGAAAATAAAAATAAACAATTTCTTTACACAGGTTTACCTCTTCAAACCGCGAGAAGATGGCTTTTTGATTTTAGGAGTACCCATCATCATATCTTCTTTAGTTTTAAAAATTTCCAATGAAGCAAAGAACTTTTGGTTTTCTTCGATATTCTTTAGCCTCAACTTCTCGTAATCAGACAACTCTGTATGCACCTGTAAAAAAGTGGAAACAGACAGTGTTGAGTAGCTTAGTAGATCTGTTATCAGGAATTTTGGTACAGTAGAACCCCTCATTTACGTACAGCACGGGCCCAGAGCCGTTCGTAAATGCGGGTATTCGTAAAATCGGGGTTGACCCAAATTCCTATATATTTGCACTGGTATTATTTACATTGGCCTAGGCTAGGCCTACAGGCCTACGCAGCTAAGTCTGAGGGGGCATATGCCTGCAGTAGGCAGCTTCAAAGCATTCTGATCCAACTCTAGGCCCTACACAAATTTGTTTTTATCGGAAGTTTTTACCTTCTTAAAGCCCCATTCCCGGCAAAATTTCTTTTTTTAAGAAAAATCTAATTTTTGTATAATGTTATAAAGATTTATAAATATAATATGGAATTGCTAGTTTAACATAATTTAGACATTCCTAAGAATGAAAAAAATGTAAAATAAGACTGAAATCTGATTTTTTGTGTTCCACACAAAAAATAAATGCGGATGAATTTTTCATTTTGATTTTGCGATAAGTCGTGAGAAGAAATATCGTAGGCGCCGAAAACATTAGCCTATCCAGCGCTGCTATGCTAGGCCTAGCCTTACCTCGATTTAGGTTCTGTTATCACACATAAAAACGGCCGACATGATATTTTCCGTTGCTAGTATTGACACTTGTGAAATATAATATTTCATAGGAATTATTTCACATTTGTTAAAAAACGACACTTAAACAAACATATCTCAGCCTTAATCGAACGACCTCATTGTGCGAGATACGAAGTACAAAAACTAATCTCATTAGAGAGGGCGCACTTTATCGACTGTATAAAAGTATACATAAAAGTGAGAGTATTCCAGTGGATGCGATCTACAACCTCTGAATTTGCCTAGTAACGATGAATTCGTCCAGAAAATGGAAATATTTTATGAGAAATAGTCTGTATTTCTCATTTTTTTTTAT